GCTTTATGCATATAACACACACACACATATATTTGGGTTGATAACCCAAATTGGCTTAATTTTGGTGACATTTCAGGCAATATCAGAGAAGTATGGGGGGAGGGGGCTTCACCCTATTCCATTTAATCCCCTCATTAGCCCTGCCCAAGCTAAAGGGAAAGTGGAACTCATGCCTTTAACATTTTGTCCCCCAGAGGAAGCCTTGGCCATTCCTCTGCAGATCCCTTATCCTACTAGCTTTTCTCTTTGACCATGAAAGAGGGACTGCCATTTTTCATTAGTGAGGGGCAGCCACTCTCTCTTGAGAAAAAGCTACTCTCTCTGCCTCCCTCACTCTGTGACTCTCTTTAAACCAGACATGATTCAGTCTTCTTGACTCCTAACAGCTGGGGGTAGGCTCAGACGTCTGGGTGGAGGCAATGACCCTGTGCCACCTAGATCTGAGTGGGACAAGATTTATTAATATGTGAATTCACCTTCTTCCCATTTCACTCTCCTCCCTTCGTGACAGCCACACGTGCACTTGGAGCGGCTTTGCTGGTTTATGGCTCCCGTCTGGTACAATAGAATGAGGAAGGACAGACATCAAAACTGAGACATGGACAGAAAAGGAGAGAGCGCTTAGCCAGAGAAGGCAAGTCAGTCAAAATAGTAAAGAACTAGTAGGCACGGCGAGGGCGGAGGAGAGAGAGGAACAATATTGTCAAGAGATTGGAGAAGAGTTTGGGGATCTGGCATATGAGAGCCTCTGGGACAGCTGTGAGGTGGCAAAAACTGGAGCGTGCAGGAGGGAATGTGAAAAGTGTTTCTGGCTTATAAATTAGTCTCTTTAAAGTTCATCCAGAAATGCAAGTAAAGAACAGCTTTCTTTCCTTTTTTTCTGATTTCTTTTTAAAATCTATTTTTTTTTAAAACTCCTTTTTGTTGCCAGATTGTGCTTCTTTATAAGCAATTCCGTGCAGACATAGAACCAGGATTCACCTATATAACAAAAATTCTGAATTTGGTGCTCCGGTACCACGGTTTTCTGCAACTTGCAAAAAAAAAAAAAGAAAAAACAAAAACGAGGGATTTATTGTTTCTTATCCCACGACCAACCTCTCACATCAGACCTTTCCCTTTTCTTCCCCTCCTCAGGACCCATAGGAACACAAAGGCAGGTTTGAAATTTCTGCCAACGATGCCGTTTTATTATACAAACATCTGTCCACTACCTGCTCTGTGACAAGCAAAGATGAATGGAACGTGGCCCTAATTTAAGGGGCTCAAATAGCCACAGGTGAGGTGGACCTATAACAACTCGTCAAAGTCAGGCAGCTCGTGCTGACACGGAGGGAGACACGAGGCACCACGAATTGTCCCGGCGGGAAACACCCCGCACTGCGTGTGTGCTCAGAGTAAGCTTCTGAGTGAATCGGAGTCTGAAGGGATGAGTGGGGGTTGCCAGCGGACCAAATGGAGGAAGGACTAAGGGCGTTTCTGGCAAAAGGGAGAGCATATGTCAAGATGTAGAGGAGAAAAGACCACGGTCCCGTGAGAAGCATGCCATGGAGGTGGGCTTGCAGCATGTTGGGTAATAAGGTGAGAGTGTAGTCGGGTGACATTCTGCAAGGCCTTGTGTACCAGGTGAAGGAATTAAGACTTGTGTCCTGTGGGCAATGGGGAGGGGAGATACTGACAAAGTACAGTAGGACAGTGACAGTATCAACTGCTTGCTTTAGCACTGTACTTCTAGTGGGCATAGCTTAGAGACTGGAGGTAGAAGGACAAAGTAAGGAGTCTTGCAGTCATAGGGGAAAGCCAAGCATTTCTGTAATAAGACCATGGCAAGGAAATAGGAGGGATTTGGTCAAAGGGATAGTTTGGTGGTGGGAACGGAAGGAGGTGGAACTTTCAATTGGACACTGGGTAACAGAGACAAATGGTTTTGATGGTGTTCCTATATTCCTTGTGGACAACTGGTTTGTATTCCTCATTACATGAAATGGAGAATACGGAAAGGAGAACATGCTTTAGTTGAGGCAATATATAAAATTTGGGGAATGTTAACTTCAAGGGACATTCAGCTAGAGTGTGCAGTAATGCAGGAGAGATATCAGGCCAAAACGATGGCCTCTTTATGACCATCAACCTCTTCTATAGGGTGGATGTAAGAAATACAAGGTATCAATGCCTACAAATAGGGCCATTGATGAAAGGTGGAGTATTTTATAGGTTTTTGTGTTACGCGTTGATGAAATGCATCGAGGATAGGCTCATATTTAGTTACGAATGGCATGTACAGTTAATGGTGAGATGTAATTATATCTCCTAAGAAATGAACACTTTGTAGACTTAGTGTGTACTTACCATGCCTGTGTTAAGAGATCTGAACTGGATTAATTTTCTCTCTTGGCCAAGCTACACCCCCATATTTTTTTCTTCTCCAGAAAAAGAGGCTATTAGGACCAGTTGAAAGCAATGAGATTAATGACAGAAAGAAAAATCTTAAAATCTAGTTTTCAGCTGTGAACGGAGGTTGTTTGGAAGTTCACAGCAATGGCCAGGTGAACCTACTAAGAGTTTTCTTTTTTTTTTTCCTAAAGATTTTATTTATTTATTTGACAGAGAGATAGCGAGAGCAGGAACACAAGCAGGGGGAGTGGGAGAGGGAGAAGCAGGCCTCCCACTGAGCAGGGAGCCCGATGTGGGACTCGATCCCAGGACCCTGGGATCATGACCCGAGCCGAAGGCAGACGCCCAACGACTGAGCCACCCAGGCGCCCCCTACTAAGAGTTTTCTAAGGGCCAGAAGTAGAAGAGCTAATCAGAAGGCAACAGGCCAAATTCCTGGCAGATTTCATTGTCTGAAAGAGATTTTCCTATATAGATGAAAGGTAAGTACCAACCACTCTCTACTGGTTGAGCGACTATGTGAGAAGGAGAGAGAGGATTAAAAAAAAAAAAAAGAACTGTTTGAATCCAGAGTTAACGCCAAAATCCACTAGTCTAAAATTAATCAGAGATTTGTTTCCATAATCTTTCCAGTCACTAATAATTGTGCTTCTCATTTTTTTTTTAGGCCTTGTATCACATATACTGTATTTAAATTTTTCTTTAAAAGCTTCTGGTAACCTTTGACATGAAGATTCGTGATTTGGAGGTAATTCATGTCTGATTTTCGTTGGGTTGCTGGACACAGTGGGAATCTATGTCCATTCTTTCCCCCTACTACAATTCTGTTTGCTGGTGGTTCAAAGTAGTTCTTTATTTTTAATCTTAAAACAATCTATTTTATAATTTTCTGACGTTAGTGAGTTGACATTGGGGTCCTTTTTGATCAAAGATTTCCAGAAAAAAGCAAACTCTGTTCATGGAACATCCAATCAAAACACAGGGTATACTAGGACTGTCTCAGAATATTTCATAGAAATTGAATTCTGTGCCTTCCAGGTTAATGTGCTGTGGTCTCAAGGTGGGTTAGGAAGACCTGCTGGGGGGTTAAGGCAAGACTGGATTAAAAAAGGTGGAGTTGGGCTGGGGAGGATTAGCTTTCCATGCACTGAAGCCTAGAGAGAGGTTTCTTAACAGTGCTGCCTGGACACTGGAAGGATTTTCCCCCGCCCCCAGGCCATGGTTAATCTGTAGCTTCCCCAAAGCACCTTGTATTAATATTGAGGGGAGAGTGACTTACAAGCTGAATAAATTGTCACCAAGAGCATGGGGGTTTAGTGGTGAATATACTAACTGCGGGGAATCCAGAAACCAAGGACAGGTCCTGGTGTGACTGCTGACTATCGAAGTCACTTGCTGTCTCTGAGCTTCCACATCCTCTAAGAATAATAGGAGCTAATACGTACTGAACACTTCTTAAATCCCAGGTACTATTAGCATTTTGTGTACATCTCATTTAATCCTCACATTCTGCTGTGGGATGGGACTGTAATCCTCTCCATTTTGCAGATGAGGAAGTCAAGGACCACAGAAGTTAAATAGTTTACCCAAGTGCATATGGTCAGTAATGACAGCTTGGATTCCAATCCTGGTAGACAGACTCCCTTACCCATAACATTACAATACGTCCTAAAGTGAGGGGAAAGGACTAGAGGATCGTGAGGGTCCGTAGAGCCCTACCAGTGTGAGTGTGTGTGGGGGGGGAGTGGGGGGCAGGAGCAGAGATCTATTTCTAGGCTGGCAGTACACACCATTCCTTCACACCCCCGGAGAATCTTTTGGGAATATGTCTTCACTGCTAGGCTACAGGTAGCAGTGGAGGACTTGGTTTGGCTCCCGAGCCCCACAAGGATACTTAATCAGGGCCATTCCTTCCTGAGCATGTGGGTTAAGTAAGATCTCAGTGGTAGTGGGACCTTGGAGAAATGAAGCTGCTGGAATGTTGGCCACAGAGCAAAATGGTGCAGCAAGAAGCTGCAAGCTGCAGGCTCCCAGCTAGCTGCCTTGGAAGGGACTACAGTAAATCAGGAGCAGCCATTGAAGCTGGTGCTGGATTTCAGGACCCGAAACTGGCCAGGGGCTGTGGACCCCCCAAAACCACCAGCAGCAGCACCGTCAACAACAACTGGCCAGTGCAGGCTAAGAAGCAGCCTGCGCGTGGGGAAGGGGGGCCGGAGAGGCAGTCGCTGGAAGCTGTCGTGGAGGTGAGGGCATGAGAAGGGGAAGGAAGGAACAGAGGCACCAGAGGGACATGGAACAAAGGGGGAGAGGGATTCTGGGCACACTACATGCGAGCAGCGCAGGAGGAGGCGAAAGCGCCAGCTTGAACGAGAGGGAGAGAAGAAAGCGGCTAAGAGCTACCAAGAAGAGGAGGAAGTGGGAGATGCGCTGCTTCCTGTAGAAAGCACGATGACTGAAGACAAAGCTGGGTGGGGACCAGTCCCTGGGCTGCAGGCGCCGCTGCTACACACGCACAGCGCACAGCGGCGGCGCTCCGTGGCAGCTCCTACTACTGCTGGGCTGGGCTGGGCTGCGCTGCGCTGCGCGGGGCTGGGCGGGCTGCGCTGGGCGGGCTGCGCGGGCTGGGCGGGCTGAGCTGGGCGGGCTGCGCTGGGGCTCGCCTGCACACTTCGGCTCCCACACAGGACACCAGCCAGTCTCTGACCCGCCGCGGGCGCCAAGGTAAAGGGGACGCTTTTCAGCTTGTTCCTTTTTCAGTAAGAAAATGACCACCGCCTGCGGTTTTCAGGGCAGATTGCTAAGGGAAGAGAGGGACTTTGCTTCAGGATTGGGGGAAAGGATTAGGATGGGTTCTTTTAGAAGGGCTTTGGAGAATGACTAAATTTGTGGCATGTTTGCCTGAAAAAAAATCATCATTAGCGCCTAGCTTTGGTCATTCGTCAGGAAAGCATGCTACATGCAAGGAGCCGTTTGCATAGTTCTCTTGGAAGAAGAGCAGGCATCAGTTGAAATCAACTGGGGCTCTGAAGCTGTGGGCTCATCATCTGATCGTTGCAGTCCCCTCATTTTAAGGGTGTAAGTGGCGGAAAATGTTGGTTGCATTGTCTTCTTACATATTTCACTGAGGTGTCTTCTGTTTTGCAGTATAATGACTGTGATTGAGCTTTTTCTTTCTTCTTTTTTTTTTTGGTTAAATCCTTTTGTACTCAGAATTTGCCAACAAAGACTGGAATTGCGTATGTGAGGGGCAGTATTTACCGTTTAAAGAAAGGTGTCTTCCTCCCTCTGCTCTGTGCCGCTGTAGCCTCAGAAACAGCTACCATTTGCGGGTGGGTCTCCTTCTAAAGTTGCATCCTTTCTCAAAGGAGCGTGGCGGGTTTAACTTGTCCAGAATCAGATATGTATCGATTTGATGTTTATACGGATTTTATTCATCTGTAGGTCAAGATGCATATTAACCTCAGTGAGGGACAAAATGTGAAAGTGGAGCTGGGTTATTTCCTTACCTGTATACCCCGTAACCAGAGCCAGATAGTAAAATCAGAATGCGATTTTTGTTCTTTGATTATCTTGAGCAATGGATCCTGTTAATGAGAGTCCATGACCATGACTTGTTCAAATTTATGAATGATATGTAAAAGTCCAATAAATAGGTCCAACAGACTGAAAATGACATTGTGAGATTTCTTTGGCAGGATATGTAGGAGAAAGAGTTTAAGACCCTAGTGAAGCATGATTTAAGAAATTGAGCTTTGTCTCCAACGGAAAGTGTGGGTGAGCAATAAATGGTCATTGATAAAAGGTTTTTTCTTGAGTTTTTAGAATGAAAGATAAATTTTCAAAGGAAAGAAAGAATTGCTTATAGTGGAGTAAAAATAGTAAAAAGGTCATATTTAGACACTCAAATTCTTAAAACATAGGTTTTTAAACACTAAATATGCCATTGAGAATGTATATGCTTCCTACTTTATCACCATTCTCAGTTATGAAGAGCTGTCAGGTCTGTTTTTTTTAATGCCATCTTTCTGAAATTGATTTGGCGTCTCAAAATTTGTGGTGTAGCCGTACATTTTCAGAGATAAGAATCTTTAGGTACTAAAGAAAAAAATGTCTACTTTTCTGAGGTTACTTATTAAATTAAACTTGTACTGTGTCTAAGGGGCAAAATATTGCTGGTGTTGAAACCATGGAGTTTCCCGGTGGACTCATTGAATTTAATCAAACCTGTAGGCAAGATAAGTCATTCCATGTATTTCACAGTTGCACTTCCCATTTCCCTCCTAAAGTAAAAAATATGTAAAGATAACCTTCCACAGAGGAGATGGAGGGTAGATCTTGGATCTAGAATGTCCCTAATCGGAGTTCCATGATCAAGCTGCGGGTCATTAAATGAAGTAGAAAGTTGGGAATCTGGGCTGTATGAGGATGGGGCTCACCCCTTGGTACTTACTCATCTACAGGCTGTGGATTCACTAGATCGTGCCAACACCCTGCTTTGTTTGGGGATGTGTAGACAATCTGCGTTATTCTTCCCTGTGTGTTTCACAAACAAGTAAGAAAATAAAACCTTGGCCCTTAGGCGCAGGAGAGTCGAGGGCCCCCTGTTCTCTTTCACAAAACAGCTGAGAGCTGCTTATTTTCTGCACTGCCCAAAACATTTCCTTAATTGTTCAATTCCATCTTGAAGCACAACATTAGTGAGTAACAGCTGATCAGTAACTGTGATGGTAGAAGGTTTAGGAAAAGATAAAAAAGCTCCAGTGCTATAAAATGAGACTCCACTTGTTCTGGCCATATGGAATATTGAAAGACCTAATGTTTTTGCCCAGAGTATTCAGGGGCTTTTGAGGGAGTCGACCTACACTGAAATTTTAATCGTATGTTTTTTTTCTGCCATATGGCCAATGGCTGAGTGGAAACATGACTCCATTATTTCGTGGCCAGCCCTGGGCCTCATATGGTGGGCACATAGTGAATGTATTAGGCTGACTGACTTGTTTAGCCCACTTCAGAAGGCAGGTCTAACTTTTAAGTATAAAAGCTGTATCGTCAAAGCAGAAAGCCAGTTCAAAAAGACAACTGTGGGTAGAATAAAAGAACACTGTGGAGTGAAAAGAACGTGGGCTTCGAGAGTCAGGCAGATCTGTCTTTGAATCCTACCTCTAGTTTTTACTCTTTGCCCCGGTACGTTAACGTATAAACCTTAGTTTCTTCGTTGTAAAGAGGAGTTAATAGTACATTATCAAGGTTTGTTTTTTTTTTTTGTGTGTGTGTGTGTGTGTGTGTTTTGGTTTTGCTTTTGTGTGTGACTGTGAGTGCCTGGTCCGTAGTAGGTACTCAGATGTCCGTTTTCCTTCCCTGGGGGCATAAGGAAAAGTTAGCATATTCTCCACCTTTGCAACTACCTCCAAGGTTCCAGGAGATTGGTTTTTTTAATTGGAGTAAAATATGTATAACATAAAATTTCCCATTTTAACTATTTTTAAATCTTCTGTGGCATGAAGTATATTGACACTGTTGTATAACCATTACTACTTATCCATCTGCAGATCTTTTTCATTTTCTCAAACTGGAACTATTCCCACAAAACAATAACTCCCCATTTCCTCCTCCCCTCCCCTAGCAACCCCCATTCTACTTTCTGTCTCTGAGTGTGACGACTCTAGGTACCTCATACACGTGGAATCCTACAGTATCTGTCTTTCTGGGCCTGGCTTTGTTCACTTACCATAATGTCTTCAGAGTTCATCCATGTTGTAGCAGGTGTCAGGATTTCCTTCTTTTTTTAGGCTGGATAATATTCCATTGTGTGTATATACCACAATTTATTCATTCATCTGTTGGACACTGGGGTTGCTTGCACATTTTAGTTATTATAAATAATGCTGCTATGATCATGGATGTACAATTATCTGTTTGAGTCCCTGCCTTCACTCTTTTTGGGTACCCAGAATTGAATTGCCCGATCAAATTGTAATTCTATTTAATTTTTTGGGAAATGACCATACTGTTTTCCACAGTAGCTGTACCATTTTACAATCCCATAGCAGTGCACTGGAGTTCCAATTTCTCCTCATCCTCACCAACACTTGTTATTTCTTAGGGATTTTTGTTTGTTTGCTCTTGATAGTAGCCATATTATTGGGTATGAATTGGTATTTCTTTGTATTTGCGTTTGCATTTCCCTAAGCATTAGTGATGTTGAACATCTTTTCATGGGTCTATTGGTCATTTGTATATCTTCTTTAGAGAAATGTTTGCTCAAATCCTTTGCTCATTTTTTAATTGGATTGTTTTCAAGGAGACATTTTTAAATGGTGAGATCTCCTAACATAATGTGTCCTAAAGATCCTGATTATAATATTTGTATTTAATCTCCTGCGTATACCGGTATTATCCCTGCCCAAGTAAAATACTTCTCTCAGAAGTAACTTCTAAAATCAAAAGGAGAAAGTAAGAAAATCTGCATAGCTCCTGATAATTGGTGATTATCAAGAACCTGATCGTGAAATCCAAACTCTTACTGTAGACAGTCACACTTGTGACCCTGCTGGTCGCATGTGGACCAGGCTACTACAAAGGAGGCACTAGGGGACTCTTGTTTCCACGTCTTTCTAGTTTCCTCTCATTAGCTGGATGAGAAAGAATGCCCAATAGTTGGCAGGGTCAGAAAAAGGGAAGAGCATCTAAAATACTAAATTATTTTCCAGCTCTTTATAATGGACAGGATTAACCTATGGAGAAGGGGCTATAGTAGTTAACAATAGATTTCTGAGAGAGGTTTCTACTAACGAAATGTGATTCTAATCTGAATTTCACTTTTGAAAATAGAGAATACTTCTGGGTTTCATTTCCTACTACACATTTCACCCCAGATTCTGAAACTGGTGAGGCAGTGTGTGGCCAAGGCTGAGGGGAGTTGGGCAGGAAGATGGAGGACTCTGTTAAGAGCAATGATATCTGAGATTTATGGTGTGGGTATGGAGGTTGACCTTGAATAATTTGAAGAGCTGCTGAATGATCGTATGTGAAATTCTTGTAACGCATTATTTGTGTGTGTTGGTTGGTTGAATAATGAACCCCACTTTGTTTAATTTGCAAATCTGTTTATTCTACAATTACTGGGAGGATCCATGACTGGCTTTACTAGATCCAGGTGGAGAAGGGAATTACAGAGCTGTGTTAAGACCTAGTCCCTGGCCTGTGACCTCATAGAATGGTACAACTGAAAATGACCCGGAGATGAGCTTGGCATGTATCAAACTCTCCATGATGGATAATGGAAGAGGCCCAGAATTTAAGTTACTTTGCTAGAGTTGCACAGATGATTAATACCTTACCCCAATTCAATCTCCATTTCACCTCCCTCCATATTAGGGCAAATGGGCAGAGAAAGTGTTTACACTTTGTCACTTTTAAAATTGTAAGACTAAATTATTTTCTTTAAAAAGAAGACTATAATGTTTAAATTTAATATCCTATGTAAGTACGCAGTTTCTGTGTTCAAATTTGTTTAAATGTAATGATGCCACAGTGGAATTTGAGATTCAGATTTCCAGGTAAGAGCATTAGAGATGTATATATGTTCCCCCAAATTCTTATGTTAAAGAAACTAAGTTGTATTTAATGGGAGTCATTGTTCAGACAATCTCTAGAAGACTTCATTAAATATTAAAAAGAGGGAGCTCAATCTTCAACTCTAGCAATAACATGTTTCTTAG